AAACAAGCGGAGCACGCGTGCTCCATGCGCCGCGTTGAGCGAGTCGCGCTTGTGGCAGCGGCTCTCAACCGGCACTTGACTTGTGGCGCGAATAACCGATCGACGCCTTCCGATAGCGGTCTAACACGGAACATACCGCCCGCTTCGAATGATCGCATTCGATTAGGCACGAGGGCGGAGGATTACATTTCATACAACGTTCTTACAATCTAGGTACACCAACGGGTCGCGAGGAACTCAATAACGCACGATCGGCAAATTACAATGAGGTCGATGAGTTTTCCGATGTTTCGTTATTAGCGCCGCCCGCCATGGCCGATAGGATCTCGGCCTCGTTGTTGATGTCGATTGGCAAGAAACATAGTTTAACAATAGGTCGCGTGTATTGAGAGCGTGCAGTGCGGATGGTGACGACTCGCGTCAATCCATCGTCACCACGGTGACATTCCGTGATGCGGCCGAGCTCCCACTGACAAGGGGGGGCGAAAGGATTTCGGAGGAGTACAATTCGCCCGACTTGAGCGAGCCGTTGAACGGTGCGCCACTTTGGTCTCTGCTGCAAGGTCAGGATATAATCATTGGACCAAGCCTTCCAAAAATTTTCAGTAATGCGTTGCAGTAGCTGCCAACGTGACAAACGAGATTCGGCGACCTCGAGAACACTCGGTTCCGGGGCAGCCAGAATCGGTCCTCCCGTCAGAAAATGCCCGGGAGTAAGTATACTATAATCATCTAGATTTTGCGACATGGATGTGATCGGGCAAGAATTGAGGCAAGCCTCAATGCGACAGAGCACGGTGCTGAGCTCCTCAAAGGTTAATGTATATGACCCGATGCATCGCTTCAAGTGGTATTTAACACTGCGTACCGCGGCCTCCCACAGTCCTCCGAAGTGCGGAGCGGAAGGCGGTATGAAGTGCCACGTTGTTCCTTCGGATGCAATTCGACTTAAGAAGTTTGGCTCGGCGCTCGCACTCTTCGCAGCGGTTCGGAGCTCGCGATCCGCGCCTTGGAACGTAGTTCCATTATCGGAATACATTGAGGCGGGAAATCCGCGACGGGAAACGAACCGCTGAAAGGCAGCGAGAAAGGCGCTGGTCGAATAGTCGCTAACTAGTTCGAGGTGAATCGCCTTCGTAGTCATGCAAATCAAGACAGCGATATAAGCTTTGTGAGCCTTGTGACCCCGTCCGCGAGTGGTTCGAACGAGAACGGGGCCCGCGTAATCGACACCGGTGTGTTGGAACGCTCGGGTGGCTCGAGTGACTCGAACGCTCGGAAGGTCGCCCATAAGTTCGGTCGGAACTTGGGCTCTTTCTCGTGTGCACGTGACGCACTGATACAAGACGGCGCGAACCAATGAGCGAGCTCGTAAAATCCAAAATTTTTCACGCAACAACGCTAAGGTCAGCTGAGGACCACCATGAATCGCTCGCGCGTGAATGTCCCTTATAATCATTCTGACTAGCGGGTGGTCCTTTAAAATGATGGGATGGCGTGAGCTATCGGGAATGTTTGCATTGCGTAATCGACCTCCGACGCGAATAACCTTTTGGCTATCGAGAAACGGATTTAATGGTAAAAGTGGGCTCGATTTTGGCACGGGAACATTGTTTGAGAGATGTTCCTTTTCAGAGGGAAACATCTCAGCCTGGATCGAGCGTAACCAGAAGTGCTCTGCGTTTTCGATTTCGGTTGGGCTAATGAGTTGTGAGCGGGTTACTCCTTGTACTGACGCCATCCTCACTTGTAGTCGAGAGCGAATGTTCTCGACAAATCGATAAACATAAGCGGTAATTCTAAGAAGCCTTTTCCAAGATGAGTAACGCTGCGATAGATCCCATGGCTCGATAATTGCGGTGGTGTGAACGGATGATGACGCTCGTTCCTCGAGAAGAGATTCTGGATCGAGCTGCGACCCAACGCTTGGCCATTGTACGGAGGTCCCGGTAAGCCAGGCGGGGCCCGACCACCAGAGTATATTCGAGTCAAGGTCAGCGGGAGATATGCTGCGTGAGGCCGAGTCTGCGGGATTGTCCTGACTCGTGACGTGTCGCCACGCGGCGTCCGGAAGCAAGGTATGAATCTCCGCGACGCGATTAGCGACGAAGGTCTTCCAGTGCGACGATGGCCGATTCAACCAGGCCAGAGTGATGGTTGAATCAGTCCAGCAATGGATTGGCACTGTTTTGAAGTCAAGGGACGTTCGAACAAATTGCATGAGTCTGGCGAGCAATTGAGCCGCGGAGAGTTCAAGTCGAGGCACGCTCATAGTCTTAATTGGTGCGACGCGGGCCTTAGCGGTTAGAAGCGTAACGGAGACGGTGCCATCCGTGGCAACCGATCAAAGGTAAATGGCAGCTGCGTAGGCCTTGGTCGACGCGTCCGAAAACCCATGCAGTTCTCGATGAATCGATTCCGAAGTAAGTTGAGTCCACCGAGGAATTTCCACGGATTCAATTTTTGGAAGCTCCGCATAAAACTGCTGCCAAGCTTCGAGAATATGTGGTGGAGCTACCTCGTCCCAATCATACTTAGCGTTCCAGAGGAGTTGCATCAATATCTTTGCTCGGATTATGACAGGAGTAGCCCAACCGAGCGGATCGAACAGTCTCGCGATTGTTGCTAAAATCTGTCTTTTCGTGTTACCCAGGGGACGGGATTTGCTAACGCGAAATTGAAATACATCGCGATCGGGGTTCCATATAATACCGAGAATCTTCACATTTTCATCTTCGCGTAATTCTCGCGTTTGAGCGAGACCATGATCGTTAGGATCGATGTCATCCAACAGGTCGGGCGAGTTACTGGCCCATTTCCGAAGCGTAAATCCACCTTTATTGAGAAGTGATATGACTTGATCACGAGTCCGCCTGGCGGTTATCTTGTCGTTGGCGCCAAAGATAAAATCATCTACGTAGATTTGGTGAGTGAGAACCGGAGGAGCTAATGGGAAAGATGCGCCCTCGTCTATCGTGAGTTGCTTGAGAACCCTCAGCGCTAAATACGGGGCGGAAGCGGTTCCGTATGTGACCGTACACAATTGATACGCCTCAATCGGATCGGTGGAGGACGGCCTCCAGAATATGCATTGATACTTACGATCGCGAGAGTCTATCAGGATCTGCCGTACACATCTTGACTACATCGGCGGAATAAACGTATCGGTGTAGGCGCCAGCGCAATATAACAGCGGCCAAATCGGTTTGGAGCTTCGGTCCAATAAAAAGGTGATGGTTAAGCGAAGTCCCGTTTGTTGTCAGGCTTGAGGCATTGAAGACAACGCGCGTCTTCGTGGTTGAGCTACTTTCGCGAATCACGGCGTGGTGAGGAATAAATACAACTTGAGTCGGATCGTCGAGCTTGTCAGAGTCTTCAATCTTCTGCATATGCCCCAGATCGGCATATTCCTTGAGAAACGAATGGTAGTCCGCGGCTTTAATCGGTTCCCGCTTCAGGCGGTTCTCGGTTCGAACGTAACTCTGAAGGGCGGACTTTCGTGACTCTCCGATCGAGATTGGGGGTCCTATCTTAAAGGGGAGTCGTAATATGTAGCGACCATCGAAATTTCGCGAGTGCGTACGGAGGAAGTGATCCTCGCATGCTTGGTCGTCCGCCGTCAAAATGGTGGAGGCTCGGGGAATTTTTCTACCTCCCAGAATCGTCGGAGCTGTACATCGAGATTGTCTCTTGAAGAACTAACGTGAACTTCTATCGTACTTGGATGAGAATGAATATGCCCGGTCGGTCCGGATATGATCCACCCAAGCACGGTATTCTGCGCGGTTGGTTCGTCCGCAGAGCCTTTACGAACGCCCTCAAGAATGAGTGAGCCGAATAGGTCGGCTCCAATTATCAACTCGATAGGGTCCGATCCTGTCGGATCAGGGTCGGCTAGACACAGGTCGTTGAGGTGAGATCATCGACGGCAAACGTTGAAGGAATTAGACAGGTACCGCGTTAGCGATTTCAAAATTAATGCGGTTGTGGTATAGGCCGGGCTATCCTTGTCATTCGGAGTAATGGTGATGGTAGCAGCGTAGCGCACGGAGGTTTTCGTCTCGCCGATACCGGTTACGTTGACGGATCTGCGAATCTTTGGGATGCGCAACGTTTGAGCTAAGTTTTCGGTCATGAATGATGACGCGGATCCTTGATCCACAAGGGCGCGAACCTTTTGCATGCGACCGGAACTGAAATGGACTTGCACGCGCGCGGTCGCCAACAGAACGTGCTGATTTGACGCGATCGACCGTGCGGTAACGTGAGACACGGTAGCGGAGGTAGCAGCTTCCGTCGGTGTTGAAAGCGCAGCCGGTGACGGAGCATCATCGGAGCTTGGTTTCGAACTCTCAGAGAAATGCAACAATGAATGGTGTTTTTTCTGACAGTGTTTGCATGAGTGTTGGCTCGTGCAATTTCGAACGTGGTGTTTGACGCTGAAGCAATTCAGACATCGTTTCGCGTTTCGGATAAACTCGTGGCGTTGTGACGGTGATTTGCTTAAGAAATCGGAGCATTGAATGAGAAGGTGCTGCGCGTTGCATACCGGATACGGGGACTTACTTACACTAACGGTATGTGAGACGATCGCTTTACTTTTCGGTTTCGCAGAACTTTCGTTCTTTTCAGCTGATTTCTCCGGGCTAATAGCAATCGGTGCTACCGCATCGAGGGCGCGTATACGCGATTCGATAAACGAATCAATGTCCTTATACGTTGGGTAGTCAACGCTCTTACCTAATTTAATCTCCCACGCTTCGCGCGAGGCTTTGTCGAGTCTTTGTGTTAGGCAATAAACAACAATGTGACTCCAATGTTCAACGGGACACGACAATCGTTTTAACGCAGCGATTGCGGAGTTGGTTTTATCTCTTAATGCGCGCAGCTCGTAAGCCGATTTTGTGTTAACGGTCGGTAAAGTAAACAATCAGTGTATATGAGCGGTGATCAAGCGTCGTTTGTTTTCATACCGAGATGTGAGAATTTTCCACGCCACAGGAAAGTTATCGGATGTCAACTCGAGGTGGTCCACAGCCGCGAGAGCGTCGCCTCTGAGACACGATAGCAGATGTTGAAAGCATTGAACCGGCGATAAGCTCCTTTCGTTAATAATAATTGATTGAAATCGATCGCGGAAGCTTTCCCATTTATCCAAGGAGCTATCGAACACGGGTAATGATAATTTCGGGAGGCTGAGCGCGGCCGTCGCGGAGAATTCAATCGGCTGACTTACTCTTGGTGCTGTCGGGGCGGGAGTTACCGCGTTGAGAATCTCGGAGAGGTAGTCCAACGCTGCGTCATGCTCCGCCTCGCAATGGTCGAATTGAGATTCGGTGAAGTACGGGAGGGTGTCCTTGTCCTTCGGGTCGACAATGGTATGCAAGGTGGCATCTAAATCTTAACATTGCGCAAATCTATCCTTTAGCGTCTCGATTCGAGACTTGGTAACGGCATACGTCATCTTTGCTTGTCCAAATTTTTTAAAGTTCGCCACTGTATTAACTATCGAACTCATAAGCAAGCATTGCTTGTGCAGGACTTTGTTGAAGTTCGACATGGTGGCACGAAATCTCACTCTGCCGCGACACTCGCTTGATTGTCAAACAGTACGTGAACTCCGGCAAGGTCAAAGTAGCACCAATATGACGGTCACAGTCACCAACAATCTCAATCCCTATCCGGCTCGAAGGACCAAAATGTCGCGTCACCAGCGTTCCGCGTAGCTGATATACTCGTATATAAGGAGTCGGGAATGGAGGATGGTGTTAACGAACTATATAAGACGTGTATGGTTTAAACGAACTTATACAAAACTTTTATTTGAGCACACTGTCACATATATAAGGCTTACAAAGATTTTAATACGGAGAATCGCCGTTAAATTGACAAGTCGCGGACGACGTCGCCGAATCACGATCGGTACGCAAGTGTGTTTCGACGGTACAACCGGAGCGTCGATCGGAGTTCGCCCTGCATTCTGACGCAGGTGCGCGATAGGTGAAAAATCATCTATCGCGCAGACATGCCGGCCGGAGACGATCGCACGAGGGTGAATCGGTCGAAAAACAAGCGGAGCACGCGTGCTCCATGCGCTGCGTTGAGCGAGTCGCGCTTGTGGCAGCGGCTCTCAACCGGCACTTGACTTGTGGCGCGAATAACCGATCGACGCCTTCCGATAGCGGTCTAACACGGAACAACTAAATTATTACACTGTTAAATCTATAGTGTCAAATTTAACCCTATTTGATTCGCCACTGCTCCTACTTAATAGTTATTTTTAACTAAAACAATAGAGTTAAATAATTTAAAACAATTCAAATTTAACCCAAATTTGGATTAAATATCATTGTTTTATTTAAAAATAACTATATTGTTTTAGTTGAACATAATTATACATTAAGTTATAGAAGCAGTGAAGACTCGAATAAAGTTAAATTTGATACTATAGGTTTAACAGTGTAGTTTTTAATTATAATAATTTTTTACAATAACTAAATAATAATTAAATTTTTAATGATAACTAAACAACTAAATTTTCTAATAGTTGCAATTCGTGATCAAGTAAAGGACAAGTAGATAATTGAAGCAAAAGTCTGAACATATACTTTCTCCTAATTAAGTATATTAAAAGCCAGCTTGAATGTGGTAGAAATTTAATACGCGCCCAATTTTTGATTTTTGATTCTATATTCGTTGCATTCAACCGCGCTCGTGGAAAATCGCGATGCCGACAGGGTGAGTTGCACAATGGAGTAGTGAGATCTGGGCCCTTTCGTATAAGTTATACGAAGTAGTTTTAAACTAAGTTATCAAGCTGCAGAAATGCGGCTGCAAAAGCAGGCTGCATCGCTTTTTCAAGCTCTCTCCGATGTTAATGCATTCGAAACCGCGGGATCCTGTCGCGGGTCCTTTCGTGTCGCAGAGAACGAGGGCATCGCGCCGCAAGTCGCGCGCGAATACATACTATATATATATATATATATGTATATTACTATGCTATATAACATCGTGAGCTGTGAAGGTCAAAGGTTGAAAGGAACCTCCGACAAAGGGCATGGAATTGGCTCCGTTTCGTGTAACCACCGGCCGAAATTTCGAACACGCACCAATTAAACGTCTAACAAAAGAAGAATATTCAATTAAAAACGCATGGCCGGATATTAATTGTTCAGATTGGAACCGAATGATGTGAGTGAATGTCAAGGCGCCGGGCTCGGTCTCTCGAGGGCCAGCAGGAAATAATTTCGCCACGTTACTGTCTACCTTTCG